GTCAGTGAAGAAACGAAACAAATCAAAATCGACAATTAATCAGAAAGACACTTTGATAAACAATAGTAAGCTAAAAACGATGTCAACAAACTGTACGAGATGCATATCATCTAATGATGCGAAAGCAAAAGTATCTCTATGTGTTGCATTAGGCGTAGGCGAAGCAAAGTTTTAAACAGTTACTTTATGAGCAAACTCAATATCAATGAATATATTAAAGTAATGAATATCTTTGTTCGTAATTCTTGGAATTTAAGTATTTCTCTTGTAAAAATGCCTCGCAAACTGAAATACTTCGTTTAAGCTTCAAACTTTTTAATTTCAATACAACTTACCATCGCATTTCTCAGTCGTTACAAAGTCAACAAAACAGAAATTGAAGGTTAAAGCTCTACATCTCTACCAGTTTTCTTCTACATCTCATGAAAAACATCCCATTAGTGGCGAATAGTTTCAAAATAATGTCCTTTGTTATTCAGCTTCCTGCCCACAATACGAGGAGTATATACGTATTTTGACAAGTTTCCTTGAATTATTTTGAACACACAAGTACACTGATGGATATATATCCTAACACGTACATAGAGGAAGATGTTATCATGAGGAAGCCATGTGGAAGCATTCATAAAGTGCATTAATTGAAGAATAACTCATTAATGTCATGTTGGAAAACTAAGATTCTTTGCAAGCAAAGCTCTTTGTGAATTCAGCAGATCTGAAGCCCCGGAATTATTTTAAATGCTCTAAATTCTTGGAGGTTGTACCTTTTTGCTTTCTGGATCGATGTAATTTTTGAACTTTTGGTGAAAAGCAGTAATTATAGTCAGGGACGAAACTAGAACACTTATTGGGAAGGGGACATATATTCATATATTCAGCTCTGCCTTGCTGATTTCTTTTAAAATTAACGTCGCAAACAAAAGAAATCAGCAGGGCAGAGCTGAATATATGAGTATATACCCCCAATTAACGTTCTAGTTTCTACCCTGATTATAGTAAGCTTCTACCTAAAATATGGCCTTCGTGATAGTGAAAAGCAGACATCGTATAATAGCTCATGAGTAAACCTAAATCAAGCACTAAGGCTGCCTCCTGGACACAATTTCCGATTGGAAAACTTGCAAAAAGAGAAAAGAGTTGAAAGAAATGAATCTTTCGGAAAATTTACCTTTGCATTTAGTACTTTAGACCGCCCAATAAATCACTTCAATTGTATAAACAAAAGATAACTCTCCCAATACCGTCATAACAGCCCGCGCGCCACAAACTTTGTATTATATATAAATTATATTTTGCGAAGGTAGGCAATTATTATTGCAGTTACGAACACATTTTTTTTCTTAAGTAATAATACGTAAAAACCAAAGAAGAATTCAAAATAATAATTATATTACTAAAAAGTAGGATTTCAACCTCTGGTTTCAAATTGTGAAACAACTCAAACACAAAAAGAAACTGACCGAAAACGATTACAGAAGAATCCTACCCAATGTCGCTAAAACATCTACAAAGAAAACAACTCACTTTGACCTATCATATCGCTTCCAGGATCACCTACGTATGAACTTTCAAAATATCTCTGTAACATTCTCTATCCACTAGTCAAAACATCACCTTACACCATCATAAATGCCACCGTTCTCGCCAACATTGAAAACATTAAACTACGACCGTACGAAATCATAATATCCTACGACGTGACATCACTCTTCACATCCATACTGCTAGACATAGCCAAACAAATTACAAACGACTAATTAAATATAATTGAAATTTCACATTTAATGTCTTACCAATGACAGAAAGTAGATCATTGCCAAAGTTCTTCGCCTCAATCTGTTTATGATAAAATGTTTGAACACTTTGCTCATTACGCCATGTAGCTGCATTCATAATCGTGCGAATAATAATAATATAAACCTTTCTGGTACAATTTTGTAAAAAATTAATGTCCTATTCTACAGAGAACCGGACAGGTTCGATATTGTTTGCGCTGCAATATTGTTGCCAACGGTTAAGGCAGTTAGAATATTGCTTATTCTTCTTAGCGGTCCGCCAAGACTGCTTAATGATTTGAGAAGCCTCTAGAGAAATGCCTCTATCAGAGATGAGCTCAGCAATAAATGGCAAAGTAGAAGTCTAGTTTTGTATTGCGAGGGTGGATGTGATCCGGGTGAGCTGCAAGTGATCAGGGTGAGCTGGAATGTCATTCTTCCTCTAGGTAAAGCACTTGCTTTCCTCTTACGACTAGTTTAACCTGAGTATGAACAAGGTTAGCATTAGCCCCCCATGAAATTCAAGAGTTAATGGTCGAACTTCTGGCTTCAATTTTCACAAGAGATGCGTTATGCAGTTTAATATACGTATCAGTGACAGTAACAAGCCGCACAAGTAAATTAATTGTTATATTACCACGGATTTAAGATTCTAAGGAATTGAATCTTTAAAACAGAAATGGTTTTTGACAATTTTTTTACACAAAATTATTAATAGCTTTGACGAAAATCATCCATTTAAGTCGCCAGAGAATACAGGAACGGCGGAGGCTCGATAATTTGGTGGTTCATATTCGTATATTCGTGATTTGCAGGCTAAAACACTTTTGAAATCCACTGGTTTCTAAGGATTATAACTCTAAATTATAAATATGATCTCCCCCAGCCAATCATCAATTCTCGCAATGTCTTCAATAGTACGCAGGAACCTGCCTCAAATAATGGTACTAACACCAGACACAATATTTTAAACTTCCATACATAGGGTATTTCTCAAATGTCACACAAAAACGATTAACTACACTTATCAAATGATACTGTGTACCTTTTAAAATCGAATTTATCTTAGTACCCTTCAAATTCAAAAACCTTTCTAGTTCTAAAGACTCGATTCCTTTCAATCTTTAATCGGGGGTAGTATATCAATTTTAATCTGCGGCTTGTAACAGTCGCTATATTGAGAAACACTGCGTAATATGTCTACCAGGATAAAAGAGGACATTTGTACCCAAAAAAACTCGCACACAATCAAGCACCTCCTCTCCTCGCCTAACTGTAAATCACAATACACCGACATCTGCGTTACAATTATTGACACTGCCGAGTTTACTTCCACCTTCAGAATTAAAGAAAATTTACACATCGATAAACTGAACCTTTATCTCCATAAACAAATTTGCCATGTTTATACTACTTTCACTGCGATATTCAAAATTTAATGACTGAAATACGATAAAAGAAATACCAAAAAAGATATCTTGTTTGTTTTTCAAAAATACTATATGACAATATTTTTTTGCAAAGCGATCGTTTCAGCGGAAATAGGTTAATTAGCATCCATGATTTTGGCGTCAGGTCTCTGTCCACTTATAATAGAACTCAATGAGCCGTACTCGTAGTCAAATCTGAAATTCCCTATTATTTGCTGTCTGACTACAAAAAGAACGGCATTGCAAAAATTACAGTATGGAAATTTGTCTTAAATTTAATGACATTGAACAAAGAATATTTAGGCTGCACCTTACGTGTACTCACACTTCATTAGAGATCTATTATACAGGCATATTACATTTTTAAGGTTATCATGAAGGGATGAAATAAAATCATTAAATTTCTGATTCAAATTTATTATCTGGATGAAAGTTTGCAAACAAAGTCCATTAGGAAACTTATGACAGCATACATGCAAATTTACGTGGATTTCTTGAAATATTGAATGGTTACTTTGTATTGAATGTGATTGAATATTTGATAAAACTGTTTGACAATTATAGACTGTTGACTTTGAACTTCAACAGCTATTCTAAGTATCTTTTTTCGATGGGCTAAACACGATGTAGCAAAATTGGAGTATGTTAAAACTTCGCATATTGAAACTTCAACATTACTTATAATTCGAAAAGAGTTTGAGAAATGCTATCAGCTAAAGTAACAACAAAACGTCACACCCTATACAGTGACAGGGGCAGAAATCTTTTTAAAGATGGGAAAGACACTCCAAAAATATAAGTTACATATATATTAGACATTTTTGGTGTCACAGTCATTTTCAAGGTGCAAATATAAAGGACTTAATTTGGAAGCTTTTTAGCTAGTGCTCTTACCAAAAAATGTTTCCAGTCAAAATGTTATGAAATAGATTTCTACATTAATGTGAAATTGTAATCATTGCTACTTTAACTTAAGCCAGGTAAGTGCGCATGCTAAGTTAGATATAAGTAAATGCTTTCGTGGGGAGTGTTACACTCTCTATCTATAGGATTAAAAGTTTGGTTTGGCTATGATTGTATATCTTTTTTAAAAAAAAAGACGAATACGGCGGTTCCATATGTCCTAGAACTTACAAAACCAACCTTTTTTGCACTCTTAATTCATAAAGGCTTAGGTACATGGTCATTTTACTGAGCAGTAATGTACGTCATAGCTCTCTTTTGCAATCTTGAACATTTTCTTAAGCTGGACTTTTATTTGTGTTCAGTGGCGTAGCCAGACTGCAAATTTGGTCCTGTTATGCAAAGTTTTTATGTGTTTACTTACTTTTAAAACAAAAGATTTATAAAAAAATGACCATAATTATGTGAATTTTACATCACATTACCAAATTTGCGATAAGGCTGCGCTGCTCTTTGTGTGCATCTATATATATGTTTTTAAAATGCCTGCATGTACCATATCTTCATAACCGTTTTTGGCATTGCTACGCTACAACTGAATTAAAAATAAGGTATGTTCGCGGCAGAAGTTAAGAAAGCTGCTTGTAACTTATGCAAGTCGACTTTCACTATTTGCTTTTATGCAATATAATTCATTAAAAATTAACACTGAGCAACCGTAAAAGCTGAAATTTTTGTCAGATTGATAAACTTCCTTACAATGAAAAATGATGTAAGTGTGCATCATTTTTCATTGTAAGGAAGTTTATCAATCTGACAAAAGTTATGTACACGAAGATGCTTTTTAATTCGTATAGTAATTTTGCAAAAAAAACATTTAAAATGTTCTTACCTGATTTCACCACTAATCGAAGGTTTCTCCGATAACGAGCTACATACTGAATAGTTGTTGTGCTTCCAGTCTTAGGAATTCTGTTGTAAAATACAGTTTGTGGGTGTAATTCTTCACAACTCTGGATTTTTGATTTGTGATGTGCCACACTGTGTAAATCATCTCTAAAACGTTTATATTGTAAGAGATTAATAAAATGTTTACTGAAAATCATATATTTATTGATAAGCGTTCATTTGAAATCAAATTCATATGCATATTACTAGGATGTATCAAATGAAGTTAGTAAAATTTAGAGTTTGAAAAGCTCCAAACTATGATGTTGTCAAAAAATCACACACAAAATTGTCTTAATATATCTTAGAAAAACGTCTTGGAGTCATTTCAAGACAACGCAGGCCATCTTCATGTTGGCTAAAGTACTATCAGACTCAAACGTTTTTGTAAATATTTTTTGAGCTTTTTAATTTAATGTTTTTCATTCAAACTTAATAACGGTTATCGGTATAACCATTATGATTATTCATTTCAAATACAAACAGAAGTAGAAGCAGCAGTAACTTTAATTCATATATTTAACAATATTTCTCTAGGCCAGTTCTTTTTTAGGCACATTTATAGAATATACTAAAAACCTAAACTGCCAAAAAAAATAAGGATAGGTGTAAGTTAGTGTTAGGATATGGTCATACATGTTTGTAGAACAAGTATGTAGCAGGTTATTTGAAAACTGTTCCCTTGTTTACGTACTTGTTATAAGGGTGTTTGATGCACTGTAAGTATTTAAGGAACGTAGGGTTATTGCTTTATATCTGAAATAATTTCTTGAAATTATTTGTAAAAGGCTCCCTAGACAGATATGATTGTTTACTGTCGTAATTTGGCAATAAACCTTCTTTTATGAAGGCCAGCCTCAAAGTTCATAGTATTAATAATAGGAGTCAAATTTTTGAATGAAATACTAAATTTTAATTCTCTTGGTGTAATCTGTAATAGAAACAACGGCTTCATTGATGTTGACAACTGGAATTAAGCCTTTATTGCAAGATATGGGATTCCAGCACAAATGTTACCATAAACAATATGGCAAAAGAAAGTAAAAAACATCCCAATAATGAACTAATTTGGAGAAGTAAACTACGTACTGACAACATAAAGAGTAAATCTTTTTGAACTATTCGTATGTATTTCTTAACTGAATTGAATTTATTTACATTTAGGCTGTTAAATAGATTTTAACCAAAGCAACCCAGCAACCCACTAACCCACACACACATATATATGTAGAGTATATAAAAGGCGCCATCATACCTTTCAACAATTGACGCTCTGGGTTCCAGATTCATTGCTACAAACAGAAAATATTGAACTATATTTTAAAGCGTGAAGCATGCATTCCAGTATACTCTAAATGCTTTCCTATATAACTTAAGTAAAACAAAAGACTTAAAGGAATAAGTGGCTCAATACAGGGGCGGGTCTAGATTATGTCAAATCAGTCACGTGACAGAAGTTTATAGTTCAAAAATTATTTATCAAATTTAATGATTACAATTTTTTTTGATCATTAAATTTTCGTTCTGTAATCGTTTGGATTTCATCGTCAAAATCCTGTTTTCTGTATGAAAACTCATACAAATACCACCTTAGTAAACAAACCAGTAGATGTTAACATATCTGGAATTCTATTAACTAGCTGACTGATATGCGGGATAGCTCGACTTGTTCGACCGATAACGGATTTCAAGAAAGCTGATTTAAGCCATTCCATTGGTCAGATCAGTCGAAGAACTGGAATAATCTCTACCGATAAGATGGGTGGCCGAACCGATAAGGGAGTGCAATTGCTATCGTGTAAATGGTTCGTTTAAATTTTTGTCTTACTATGCTTGGTTTGACCGGTTTTGACAGATAAGCTATTGAACTAACATAGTCAAGCTCACTGCCTGAATTGAATGTTTGATCCTTTCTTAGTAATTTTCTAAAGCATGAGAGAAACTAAACTACAATCAAATAGAATTTATGGAAATCTTTTACAAATTTATGTATTGATATGAATGCCGCTGTCTAGACTGAAAATTTTTTTAAAAAGGTGAAAAATTTATGGATGACTTTGAAATGCTCGGCAAAGACGATCTCGCGAGAGACATTTCAGTCATTGATGTTCAAAAGCAAGTCATCATTGTTTAGAGTTTTCTCAGCAGAAATTTACATCCAAAATCGTAGTAAATGATTTGTTTCTTGACAATTTGACTGGAATGGTATTAAGCCTGAGTATTTCACATTCATGAAATGTTGTCCCATGTCACATATTTTCACCTTTTCTATCTGAACACCTCATGTAGAGATGTCAAGGTGTGTTGATCTACAGCTCATTCCAGATTATTTTTCATAAATTCGAAAGTGCTAATAATGTATGAAAAGCATCTTCTATAAAGTAAAATGTGCTCCTATGTATGTAGATAAACCTTGAAATTTGGCAAAACAAGTATTTTTCATGATTAATAATTAATTTTTCTAATGATCATTATAATTTCTAAACTAATTTATTTCAGATTTACATTTAATCGAGCAATTATTTTATAAAAAGATACTTATCATTACCAGTAAGCATGACACATGAACCAATTTCAACATTCATGTAATTATATGGTTAAAGGCATGTTGGTTACATTCTGTTTGTATTAGCAAATACAATGCTACTGGTGATTGATATATAACACATCTTGCATATACTTACAGAAGATAATAGTCTAGTGAAATGCCTAATAAACATTAATGGCATCAAGCTGTCCTTAACTGCAAATTTCCACTCTGATAATTTTGGCTTATTATTTGGCAGAAAAAATTTTTGAGTTTTTCTCAAAAGATGAATGTGCTGGCACTGTATGTAGAGATGGGTAAAGAGTTACAATAAACTTGCATGGTTTAAAGTCTGAGCTTTTCTACATCTATGAACTGTCTCTTGTAGTACAAAATTTCTAACTTAACTCATTACATAGTGGTTAGAATGGGGGTCTCTAGGGGGATCTATGACTGAAACATGGTAGAAAGTTTTAAAGAGAATATCTTTTTTGGAATAGCATTATTGTAAAATAAATTTTACTTTCATAAACATGCTAATGAGCCACATATTTGGCATGATAATGAGCCTAAATATTTGGCAAGACATTCAAGTATTGTTCACTTAAGCGAAATGTGTTGTTTTTACGCATAAACGATGCCCACAAAATGCATTTTGTACTGCTGTAAAACGCTAAAAATGGCATTTCCAAGACTCTAAAATTCAAAACATTTAAGGAGAGAATGTCACGGACCCCCTAGGTGCGGAGCGCGTCCGACGTTTTATGACTGATGTGTGAAAAATCCTAGATCCGCCCCCTTGCTCAATATTATATAAATTAAACATATGACTTCAGACAATGATCACAGTCAATGAGCTATGGACTATGATCGCATACTATTTGAGGTTGAAGTTGTATATTTCTTTTCAAGATTAGAATAATGAACAAATTTGACTTACTATTGAAAATAATTACCATGATCGTTGTTTTAATACTGCTGAGATGAAGAGCATTGTATGCCTTAATGCACACTTACATCATTTTTTAACAAATCTCGAGATGCACAACTAGGATCCAAAAATAGCGTCATGGATAAGGCTAGTTCTGGGTTTTAATTATATACAATTTCTATATATGATTTTTTTTGCATTTTTGTGGGAGATTGGGGTAGATCTATCAAGAGGAACAGGAGTGCATTAATAAGATATTGAGTAAACAAGAAAACATGTAAAACTTCAGGATTGTGTCTTTATATCAGTCTTGCTAAACAAAATGCTTTGTTCTTCTTATATGAAAGTCTTATTGTCCGATTTAGTTGAACACTTCGCTGTAATAATAATTGATTTTTTAATGAAGTAATAGCTTTTGAAACATTTAAAGAAGCAAGATGAAAGTGGCAAAAACTTGCTCTTTTTCTCACAGTTTTAAAGGAAACTCAAATAACAAAAGATTGCCAGAGAACACTTTAACAAACTCGTCTACATTAAAAATGATTACAATACAAAAATTACAAAAGGGGATAGCTTGTCTAAGATTAGACAAAGTACACCCACGAAAAAACATGTTCTTCTTCAAGAAATACTCAATTTCATGGATTCCCAGCCAAAAGTTTGTGAAAAAAGCTCATAACTGAAAACGAAAGAAAAAATCATTAAACATTATGCAACAAGCAATGAAATCATAGAAAAAATCTTAAAGAGGGCTTGTTGATACAAATGATGATGACTACAATGGTGAAAGTGAAGATAAAAAATGGAAAAGAAGAGAAACAAAAATTGGGAGAAAAAGTACTGACGTTTATATCTATTTAGAAGCTAAAATTGCACAAAAGACAAGTTTAAGTAAGGAAGAAATGTTTTATACCAAACAGCAGTTGATAATTGGACAAGAGAGAATGTCATTAGAAAGGGCAAAGTAGCTAGGACCAAATGCAAAAGCAGATGCAGCTAAAATAAGAGCAACTTCTACTTAATAATATACCCATAGTAAATACCAACAATAATAACTAAAACTGCAAGAAAAACCCATTAGACGGCAAAAAAACGAGATTATAATGAGGGCTACGTTAGGTAAATTAGTAAGCAAAAAAGAACAGTTGGAAATCTATATTGGTTTGTCAGTTGTTTCTTATTAATCTAAAAGACCAATTTATTTTAACTCTCTTATGACCATTATATGAAATTCTACTTTTTTTGAAAACATAAACTCTACTCAGACCACTCTTTGTATTAGCATGAGCAGTCATGCTGCTGTGTAAGCGCTAACCCATCTTTGACCGTCGCATTTACTGTTGAAACGTCGATAATTTCAGGAATTTCTAGCTTCCTAGTAGACAAACATGAGTTTTAAAAGAATTAGAGTCTTCTATTGAATGGAAAATCTTTAAATATTGATGAGTTTAGCTGCGCTACTCTTTGATGGCCATGTTTGTTTCTCAAATCGTATATCTGACTTAAAGCACAAGAACTCCTCACGTGCTCAAGATTGTGTGACGTCACTATGGATAAGGTCTATTGATGAGCGAGTATACTTTTAGACAAATTTAAGTCGTGGACAAACTCGTAGACTTATGGCCAAACTACCCCTGTGTATTTCATGTA